CAGCTTTCATACGCTGGTGCGTGAAATTTTTAACTGTTTTCCAATGTTTGAACTATTTTTGCATAGCTAGAGTACAAAGCAGTGAAAATCATTAACAGGCAATCGTTCGATCGGTTGAATTGCACAGAACGCATGATCGCACCGGCTAGTCTGGTGCGCGTTGCCATTTATTTTTTCCTCCCTTTTAGCTCACCAATACCACATATTTCTAATGCTGAAACTGTCACACTGCCGAGATCCAACTGCAGCATTGAATGGGAATGTATGCGACTTAATGGGTCGAAACAGTTCAATTCAGTTTTTTTTTTTTTTTTTACTTTTTACTTTATAGTTACTACCTTTTTCGTAATCATAAAATATTTAAATTTAAACTCCCATTGAATCCAAAAACAATAATGGTAAAATGAAGTGTGCAGGTAAAAAAAAAAACCCCGGCAAGTGCTTTCATCAGGAAAAACCCATCTGAGCTTGGCGATTCTGTTAGGAATCGAAATGAACATGAAAGCTGTTAATAAGCTGCTACCAGACGATACAGCATTGGTCAAAGCAATTTTTTCAAACTTTTCTGTTGCACTCCTAAAGAATCTGGTTATGAACTGCAGCTAATTCAAGTATTTCAGAGCGAGATTCAAAAATTTTTTTCTGCAAAGAGATCTACTGTTCTGATAAGTTAAAAGATTTACGTGGCTTCATCACTGGACAGCTGCAGTGTTGCACATGCCTGCTCCAAAGACATTGCTGGAGGTTTCTTGTCGATTTCATCCAGCCAAGCTGCTAAGCAGGAACGCAGGAAAGTAACCTGGAAACAGGAGTAAGACTGTCAAGTACAGAGATGATAACAGTCGCAGAGAACCCCAATGTTATCGAGATTTAGAAAACAAGCATATAATAAAAAATTTACTACAACTCCTCCATACTCTCCATGGGAAGCCGAGGTATTCGGAAGTAATCCGGCTAGTAGCAAGCGTCAACAACAACAATCATTTTTGTTGGCAAGACTGTCGGTGGCTCCCTTTTCTAACAGTAATTTAGAAGCAAGCTGATGGCGGTTCTCAGGCACATGGTAGTACTAATTTACCATTGAAAAAAAATGACCAAAACAAATAGGTTGTAGTACTGGAGAACTCGAATTCTCAACTTTCAGTCAGACAGTGACACTACTTAGCACTGCGCCATGCTCGCCACAAAATAGATGGATCCTCCCGGGGTGAGAGGCAAGGGCTTCTCAGCGGCACAGGCACCAGCGCTGCAAAAATCTGGGTCTAAAGTTAAAACTAAAATAAGCAAAAGCCTAAAGTAACTCTAAATTAAAGTAACTCTAAATTAAAGTAACTCTAAATAGCAGTGTTACACCTTCATTCCTAGTTTTTTGCATAGTTCCAGGGCGGAAGGGGATCTTCCTTCCCATCCCTTGTCGCCCCCTCCTCCAAAGAGCTCCGTCCTCCCCTCTCCCTCTCTTAGAAGTCCGTCCTGGATCCGCCTATGGCCAGAAACACTCACTATTTGCATACGTAAGTTTGTACTAGTTATCACTGTATTAGGTATGTAATAGCGCATGTGCATAATTATGGCATTTTTGGTAAGTAAAAATATAAATTAATGGTACCCTTAAATTTCACACTAACGGCTTCAGCCATAGTTCCCAATCTATCCTCCTGCTCCTCGTGCATGGTCAAAAGATTGAACGCTTGAACTAAGTCTCACAACAGCAAAAATCATTATTCAGTAAAAAATAAGTGGCGGGAGTACCGATTGCCGGTGCGAAGATGCTTTTTTACTGTATAATTCCCTGCGAGTTCTTGTCGCTAACAGCACTGTTTTTTCCAGCAGATGCTTCTAGCTAAAAGAATTGAGACCGGCCAGCACGACTGTAAGAAAGCATCCCCTTAAAATTTCAGCTTTCCAGCTTTCCTGGTACCGAGTTAGTAATTTAAACGGAAAAAATTTCCACGGACCCGTACGAGAGCACCATGTGGGCATTAGCGTCCATTTTGGGGATAGGGCTCCACAAGTGCTTTTAGATTAAGTTGCTAAAGCTTCAGCTTTGTAGCTTTTGTAAATTTCGAGATGAAAACTTGGTACAGACACACTCACACATACATCCACACACACACAGACAACTCCTCGACAATATGCGTTCTTGCTTGCATACGTACAAATAAAAACGCATAAAAATAATTAAAAGTGATATTAGTTCAAATGCTAACGGGATCACGTATTGGCCAGTACGGAAATCGTTCTGTGTTACAAAGAAGCCTTAAATAGTAGACGTGACAGAACAGTTCGCCATCCAGTTGTGGATAATCGATGGCCGGAATTGGGCAATACTGATACAGTGCTTTTATGTTGCATGGCAAACGAACCGAAAAATCGCTGATGTGAACGGCTATTCGTTCAATCATATGACGCCTGGAACAAAAAACAAAGTAACAAAATCACATTTTAGATAAATTTCCATTAAATTATCAGCAGTTCAACTGCTGCTGGCTGTGACGATGAGAGCAATGGAGCGAAGGATGTTTGGAGTGTTTCTTCGTAACCGCATAAACAATCAGATAATCCAACAGATAAGCGACTGCACAGTATCAAATAATAGAACAGAAGGACTGGACTTAAGTGTCATGTTCAGGAGGACATTTTACGATGCAGTCTGCGTGTTTCATCCCTTAGCTGTAAACACCAACCGAGCTATGCATCAGACTAGGCGAGAAAATAAAATTTTATGGGATTTTGCTGGCAGACAACGGATGTCGCCCATAAGTGTAAATGATACTCATGGGAAAGAAAGGGATTATTTGCACGACTAACCAAAGGGACAGGTTATTTGGAGGCACTGTTGTATGTTTTTGATAACACTGCAAGCTGACTCGAGGCAATTTAAGATCAGTTCATACTTTACCCTTTTTTTGCAAAGATAGGGACCAGAAAGGGAATCGAACTACTCATCTTCACTGCTACCCGAATCTTAGAATCGTGACGTGTTAACCAATACACCGCCGGATTTTGTGCAACACACCAAGGAGTAGGAGCTTTTAAATTTATAAGGAACACACACACACAAAACCACTCACCCATACACACACACACACACACACGCACACACACTCTACAGTGCCACAGGCAGTGCACATTCTTCAATTTTTGCCAGCTTTTGGGGGTAATCCGCCACAACAGTAGCTGAAAGAAATGTCATCACCTCATTTCATTGTTCCAAATTATCTCGGGATTGTCATATTCACCCAAAAATGTTTGAGCAAATTTTTCCGGTCCATATTCGTTCAGATACAATATTGCTGCTTCTGGAAGTAATGGACTTAAAATACTACGCGAAGCAAATTCGGATTTTGCCTGAAATCAGTACAAACTTTCTGCAGAGTAGTTAATTATAAGTAAAATGGAAAAAAAAAATGCACCATTATTACCAAGGAAGAAAAAATGCACCATTACTACCAATATCTTCACAGTTATTTTTAATGTTTTCCATTATAATTATAATGAATTATGAAAATTATAAATTTATCATTATAATTATAACTACGATAATTTATTAATTTGTGGTGAAAAATTTATAACGAATGAAAATATGACAGCTAATGAATAAAAAATCAAACTTAAAGAATTTACAACAACTGCTAATCTGTAAGTTATTTTCATCACGATCTAGAAATGATAACGTTCGAGGTGAAATGGTGATGCTCAACATACACTAGTGATACTCAGTGGCTTGCAGAAAGACTCCTTCCGAGAAAACACTGGGTCTGCAAAACCCTTAAAAGATGAGATGAACGTTAGCAGCGTCAGAAAGCTAACCACCACGCGACGCTGTACTGATCAAGAAAATTGGAAAAGTGCCAAATTCACAAATGATGACCCAAAACATAACTATAGCTGATCCAAATATTACAAATGATAAACTTAAAGATAATTTTCGATCAAAAAAAAGACTAGAATCGAAATTCCGAAGAAAACTTTAAATTTTATAGGAAAATAGATTTTAATACAGATACTACTACTTCAAGTGAGTAGTTTCCGTTCGAATTGAAGAAAAATTTACCACCGCTGATCGAAATGCCTGCTTCATATGTGTGTAATGAAGAAATCGCGCAATTGGAAGTACATTTGAGCCATTGTACATTAAAATAAAGAAAAAAACACCCGAGAGATACAATCGAGATAGAAAAGGATTATCCTGAAATTACGTCAATCCTCAACAGCTGCAACAAATAAATTTCGTAAAATAGTTTCTGTAAAACACGAAAAATCGATTTTCGGTTAAACATAAATTACTTAGGTTTGTCTGTTGCTTCTAAATAATATCGAAAATCCGCGAAAAGCCGGCCAAGAATATCCGTTGCTTGTGGTATTAGCACTAGATGCTAGTGTGTGTATAAAAATGACCATGTATATAAATTCAGACCCGCAGAGGCTAATTATAAAGCATGCATTCCACCAATGATCAGTTCAAAAAGTTCTCCATTTTGGTGAGATAAGCATTTTAAAAAAGTGTTCAAA